TGCACATGGTGGGTGATGAGCTGGACGAGCCCGCGCGCGAGCGCATGAAGCAGCGTGAGGAGCTGCTGAGGCACGAGATGACTTGGCTGCTGCAGGAGCTGGAGCAGAGGGGCTTTGCCTTGGGAGCCCTGCTCTTCTGTGCAGTTCTGGGCCCTTGCTGGAGTGCTGGTCCTGCTCTTCTGGCTCGGCTGGTGGCTCAGGAAAAGGAGCCATCAGCCAGCCAGCAGCAACGAGGAGAATGATGAACAGGAAGAACGTGAAGGAGAAGACGCTGATGATGAGAGGGGCCTGATCAGGATTGTTACAGAGCGCATCCGGTGGCCAGAGCAGAACCTGGTGCACAGGAGCAAGGTAGACGAGCTGGTTGGTGACCTCCTCTGTACCTTCAAACAGCTCTTCTCAAATACTTTCTTGCCGGTGCTACAGCCAGCCATTAAGTTGGGTAGCACCTTCGAAGGTTGGAGTCCCCAGGAAGACGATGCTGTCTACTGCCTGCTCGTGCCCCTGGAGGCCCCCCGTGGGCACACCTTCCACCTGGAGCTGGGCCCCGAGGGTGAGATGCCAGCAAGGAACTCCAGGATTCGTGTGGAGGTGGAGTGCTGCTGCAGGCGGCAGTGGCAGGCGGAGTACACGCTGTGCTTCCTCCACCAGCCTGCGATCAGGAGAATTCACACTCCCAGCCTCCTACACACCCTCTGCACTGACTCCTACCTAGATGTGATGAAAACTGTCCACTTCTTCCGGAGGTTCGTGGATTTCTTCTGCAGTGTGATGCCTCAGTCGCATCACTGCAGAATAGAGGTGCTGCCCTTCAGCCGCTCCTTCAAGCTGCAGCTGACTACTGCCTCCGGGAGACCCCTCTTTGTTGAGATCATCTTTGGGGTGCGGCAAGGCAACTCGGACATCTTCCTGAGCAGCCAGAGTACAGAGGATGACTCCACCCCAAGCACCACATGGACAGAGAGCTACGCTGTGGCAGAGGCGAAGTTCTTCAGCATTATCGCCAGGCAGGCCCCGCAGGACAGCTTCCACCTGAAATGCCTGCAGCTCTTTGCCCGCATCGAGCTGGGCAGAGTCCTTTCCACCGATATCTTGAAGACAGTTGTGATGCACCTCCTGACCATCATCCCCATGTCAGGCTGGCGCAGGAGGGATTTCCTGAAGCGGCTGGCCGATATCTTGCAGTACCTGCATTACTGCATCAAGGAGAAAAGCCTCAACCACTTCTTCTTCGGCAACGAGAATGTGCCCGAGGAGATAATCTTGCTCCCATCCTTCCGAAGGGCTGAGCCATACAACCTCTTGTACCACCTGGTGGACAATCCGGCCGCCCAAAATGAGGTCCTGCATGAGTTAGTGGAGCTGCACACTCGACTCACAAGAGAGCTGATCTTTGGACACTGAAAGGGTTCTTCATGCACAGAGCTGCGTTTGCCGGTCTGACAGCTGATGGCAGACAGAGACCTCACACTGCAGGGCAACAGAGGGGAGAATGCAGGACACTGAAAGGAGAGGGAAAACCCTGCGCAGCAGCCCTGTGCCAAGAGCATTCTTACCACCTGGACACAGTGACCACCACCTCCCCTTCCAGAGAGTCCATTCCTTCCGTCAGCTTAATTTTGGACCAAGTGGCCAATAAACGGTGTGTTTGAACAGAAGCTGTGTCTGTGAGCATCTGGGCATCACTTTTGGGGGGAACATGGGGACGGGGTGCTGACTGCTCAGCTGCAGCAGAGCCAGGGAGTGTTTTGCAGAAGAGCGGATGCCGTGGGCTCTGGTTTCACTGGTTCTGTAACTACGGCTCCCCCACGCGTCAGTGCTCCTGCACCGGGGCAGCGAGAATAACTCGTCACCCTCTGCAGCTGTGCGCAGCAGAAGATGATTCTTCCATTGCAGCAGATGGAGCAGAGGACCCAGCAGCTGAGCGGTGTGGCCTGGGGAGCCCTGCTCTTGGATGCCTTGTGACAGTGACAGGTCTGGGGCCTTTCCTCCAGTTCTCGTCCTGCTCTCTGGGCTCTGCAGGTGGGTCAAGAAAAGAGCTGTGAGGACGTCAGCAGCAGTGAAGAGGAGAGCTCCAGCAGTGACGTGTCCAGTGCAGAACCTGGCCAACAAGTACTAAGTGGCAGAGCAGGTGATGTCGGCTTCCTCCACGTTTTCACATTGTTCTTCTCAAATAGTTTCTTCTTGGTGCTGCCGCCAGCCGTCGGGGTGGGCAGCACCTTTGAAGGCTGGAGTCCTCGTGAGGAAGATGCTGTCTACCACCTACATTGTTCTTCTCAAATAGCTTCTCCTTGGTGCTGCCGCCAGCCGTCGGGGTGGGCAGCACCTTTGAAGGCTGGAGTCCTCGTGAGGAAGATGCTGTCTACCACCTGCTTGTGCCCCTGCATCCTCTCCTTGGGCACGCCTTCCGCCTTGATCTGGGCACCGTGGAGGAGATGCTGGCGAGAGACTCCTGCCTCTGCATGGTGCTGCAGTGCACGTGCATGGGGGAGCGGCTGGTGGAGAACATGCTGTGCTTCCTCCACCACTCTGAGGATGCTGTGGGTAAATACCTGTGTCACCTCCCTTCCAGGTCCTGGTGCTGCCCTCCTCCTGCCAATGCAATCTCCAGCTAGCGGATACCTTCAAGAGGGTGGTTTTCATTGTGTTGATGCCTGGAAGGGAGAAAGGCAACTCAGACATCTTCCTAAGCATTTGGCAGGCTGAGGCCAGCTTTCCTGGCTTCTACTTTCTTCCTGATGGAATTGTACTTTTCAAGTAGCATTTGGTCCTGTCATGATGTCATATTCAATCTTCAGGGGTCCTTAGGATTTGAAGCTACATCTTTTGGTTTTAGATTGTCTTCAGCAGGCACTGTTAGAGTAGCTGGAGCAAGCATGTGGGAGCTGCCTGCCTCCTTCTGTCTGGATAATTATCACATCCCCCATCTGGCACTATCGAGGTGCACTGTAGGTATGTGGTGTTTCCTTTGCCCCCTCCCTATGGCAGAGGCCAGTAAACATCAGAGTCTGGGGCACCCCTCCTGCCCAAGGCATGTGCCAAGGCATCTTTGATCCTCCCTCTGTTTGACCTCTGGAATTAGTTTCTGTCCCCAAAGAGGAAGACGGCACTGGTAACTGTGCTGGGGAGAGGACCTTTATTGAACACGAGGGCTTTAAAGTGTACTCCAGGGGGGTTCACGGGTGGGAGGAACGGACAGCTCTGCTGCCAAGTGGCCGTACATATTACAGACGGAGGATGTCTCTGGAGAATCCAACTACTCTCAGCAGTAGCTCCCACAAACTGCTGCAAACCCTGCTTGTGATCCTGTTGCAAGAGGGACAATCCCAGTCAGGCAGCAGAGCTCCTCTGGTCTTTCTGGTTTGGTGGAGATTTTTCTTAGCACTTCAGTGGGCTTGAAAGAACTGATCTGTTCATAGAATCAGAGAATCAGAGAATAGGACGTTAAAAGGACATCAAGGATCATCTGGTCCAACCTTTCTTGACAAAAGCACGGTCCAGACATGGTGGCCCAGCACCCTGTCCATCCGACTCTTAAAAGTGTCCGATGTTGGGGAATCCACCACTTCCCTGGGGAGATTATTCCAATGGTTGATTGTTCTCATTGTGAAAAACTGTCTTCTTGTGTCCTATCAGAATCTCCCCAGGAGTTCCTTGTACCCATTACCCCTCATCTTTTCCGTGTGACCCCTTGTAAAAAGGGAGTCTCCCTTTTCTTTGTAGCCACCCTTTAAATACTGGAACATGGTGACAAGGTCTCCCCTAAACCTTCTTTCCTCAAGCCTGAGCAAACTCAGTGCTCTCAGCCTTTCCTCTAATGGCAAGCTTGTTTCTTCTGGCAGGGTTGCTTTCCCTTTGTTTAAGACCCAGAAGATACCCTCCTCTATACCAGATTTCTCAGGTTGCTCTCATACTTCACCTGGACTGGTGTTCCCTCTCCGCTCCCAAACAACCACACAGTCTCCTGGCAACTCCCCAATCCACAAGTGTTAAGCAGGAGTCACCAGCGAGATGGTTTGGTCCTCTTGGTTCCTCTCTGCACCTTTTGCAGTTGCATCCTATTAGGAGTTTTTGCCCTCGTCTTTGATTTTTCACAGCCCTAATTCTAATGCTAATTCTCATGCATCCTGCCTACACTTCCCGCCTTGGCCATCCATACCTGTCACCAGGTGATTGCATCATGGTGTCAGGGGTGAGGTTTGTAGGTAGTGCCCTGAGGTCCCAGTCCTCCATGTATGTTGAATTGCCTCCCTTGTGCTCAAGGAGTTGACTTAGCTTTCAGCACTGACATGGACAACTTATTCTTCCGCTCTTCTCTCTGGTCTTCTCTCCGTGTGAGCTCCTGGGGAAAACAGTCTCCTTCCTTTGGTGTCTGAGTGTGCTGTGTATATTCCATCCAGGCTGGATTCTAGCTGTGGTAGGACCTCATGGGGATGAGCCTCTGTCCAATGGGCTCCCTTGCCACCCCTTTGTATCACTGCCACTCCCCACAGCATGACCTTGTGTGCAAGCATCCCTCAGCACATCCCCTTGCCCAGGCACTGCTTCACCCACCAGAGGACAGAAACAGGGCTGAACTGTCTGGCCATCAGCCCTCCTTAATGATACTGGTCTTTGGCTGTGGTGCCCTGCTCACTACATGCAGTGACGCTTGAGCAACACCCCAGGTCTTCCCCAGAAATCAAGGCCTACCTGATTCCTGCCCAGCTGGGGAAGGCAGGCACTGCATTCGCAGGGCTTCACCTTTAATGGAGCAGCTGGACTTTGGGCTTAACTACCAGGGCAATAGCTCACTCAAACAGAGGTCTTGTTTCACAACGTCAAGTAGGGTTAATACATTACAAAACTCATTGTCTTGATAACATAGATGGAGGCATGGGAACAACATCCCGTCCTGTTGCATGATAGACAGGGAGGAAAGTCCTGCTGTCTGGGATGGACCGCATGTCAAAGTCTCTGTGGTTTCTGCTCTTCTCCTTCTCTTTGGTATATTTGACATATTGCATCATGCACCTGTCCTGGTGCACAACGGCACCTCAACACAGCATAGCAGTACTTTATAATGAGAGCTCTTTTCAGGTTAGAAACCTAGCCATGAATGGCCTCTAGCTGGAGCCAGAGACTTATGTATTCCACTATGGTCCTGAAGAAGCCTAACAAGTGAATGGCTAAAGACATTCCTACCCTCTCCAAAACATCAATCTTCCATTGTCTATAGTTGGTCCCTAGTCTTGTTAAAGCAACATGAAGTGGGGAAGAGAGAAACAGCCATTTCCAAATGTTCAGCTACCCCAAATCACACCTACTGGGGAACAGAGGACAGGAATGGCCCATACAATGCTTGCTGAGTTTCTTTCCTCCTCTCTAGCAGCTGTTTCTTTTGTATGGTGATCCCTTCTCTTGTGTTGGTGATGCAAAATGGAAGGAAAACAAGTAGAGCCATCGATCAGGCTACAAGTTAGGTGACTGGAAAGATCAGGGGTTAATCCGCTAATCCACTGCAAAGAACAGGGTAGAGTGAAACATGCCTGAGTCAAGCGTGGAGTGCTGTAACAGGCCACAGCAGCAGTTCCATGAAAGACCTGAGCGCCCCAGCA